ACGTGAATGGGACATGACCTGGGGTGGTGCCGAATGCTATGTGCATCGGCTGCCACCTCACTGGTCACTGTCGGGTGTTGCCGTCCACCCCGACGTGCAGGTGGACACTGGAAGGCGCACACCAGCGCTAGCTGGCATGACTGGCACCGTGCGGGTGCTATCGTGCGATACCCACGATGCTAGCCAGTCGGAAGGCCTACTGGCGCTGCCGAGGCCACTGGCGTGCAACGTTGTGCACGGGCATGCGTTACCGCACGCTGTCGTGCACAGCCGAACGTTGGCGTGTGCATGTACGCACGGCCAACTGCTGACTGCTGCTACGGGCGGTTAGGTGCTGCTGCCATGGGCATGCGCACGCACTGGCTGCCCGTGCTGCCTGACTGCTGGCAAGCACAACCGCTATGGGCGGCAGCGTGCATACGTCCGGCCCTTACCGGCTGTTCGACAACTTCTTCCGGCAACCTCAACATGATTTAACATAATTTAACATGATATGATCATACATGCTGACCTTTCTTAAACTTACTGAATTTTGTTCAAAGGACTCGACTTATGTCGAGGTGTGCGCACCATGCACACGGGTTCGGCATTAGGCCCATACCTCGACTAAACGTGAAACTTCTTCGAACAAGATTAAGAGTCTGATCATAATACACTATTTTTAAAGCTGATGGGACATGAATCATTCGGACAAATATGATTATAATAGAAGATAACATGACACGGCTCGTGGCATGCGCTACACGCGCTGCCGACAGATTTAAGCCAATTCATGAATAAACCTTCAACTTGTCTCGACCAACATGAAGTAACTGAGTCTAAAATGATCTAAAATGATCAAATAAATATGAAGTGCTCGGGAGTTGCCGGTTAAAATAGATTTCACTCGGTCATGGTCTAAAATAGCCTAAACCGAACATATCATGGCCTTTTCATGAATATTTGAAACGTAAGCTGAACAATTCTTACTAACATGAACTTATTAACATGAAAAGAAGTTGAAGATGAAGTTAACCATTCAAGTGTTCGATGAAATTCACAAGAATGGGCGTGATTCTTTGGCTCCGCGTGCGTGTGTGTGTGTGGCTTGCCGTGTGCGTGCGATTAGACTAATTTTGGCTTAATGTTTGCTGAGTGTATAGCTTAGTAAATAAGCTATATTTCCCCCTCAATCTCTGATTTATAAGCACGGTAAATATGGTGAATTTGGAGAGAAATTTTCGGCCAATGGCCGCTCGCCATGTGTCGCACGTCCAACGTATAAGAGTGGCACTTATGTGCTTACTCACCACCACCAAAGCTTAGTCATGCCTAAGACATTCTCATGCTTCCACTTGTACCATGTCATGATGACATTCCACGTGAAAATAGAAGCAACATAACCCTCGGCAATTAGTTTGGTTAAGCACGGCTTAAGTGCGCTAAGCGTGCTTATGCGTATGCTAAGCATATGCGATGGTACTTGATCGTGCAAGCCTTGCTTAGGCTTAAACTAAGCACAATTAATACATGATTAATGAACTTAAGCTTGGTAAAATTATTCATCGAGCGATTAAACATGAATTAATTATCGGAAAATTATTCCGAACATGACGTGATATTCGAAAATTAATTCGAACGCTCCTTGACTTGAATAATTAATTCCGAACAAATTATGCTGAATAAAATAAATATTTCAGAACTAAACATGATATTACATTAATAAATATGACGGGATATTACAATCTGCCCCCCTTAAATATTTCCGTCCTCGGAAATACAAAACGGGACATATATACATGGGTTATGAAAGAAAATATACATCAGAACTGAAAATCAGGAAAACGAGCGCGAATATTCAACTCTCCGAGTACGTCTTGGTGGGCGACTCATTGGATATGATATGAGAATTGCATAATCAAATTCATAGTGCGTACTGTGCGATTAGTCGCATAGGTTTTGCATAACTAAAAGAAAAGAAATATATATTAAGTAATCTCGCAGAACTGCGAACAATAAGTGATTTCGCATAGTCTTCGCATAATATTGAGGTAAAAGATCTTACATTCTAAACCCTAAACCATAATCATTTGTCCCAATACCTAAGATGTTTTTTTTATCCAGTTATGCTAAACAATTTGTGATTTATCGTACATTGTCTGCAGTTTAGCAAAATCAGTTACCTATATATTTTTTCATTCCATTATCCGATCGCTATACGAAATATCATGTAGTGTTTGGAGTTCTGCAAAATACTACGTGATTTATCGCACTTTATTCACAGTTCTGCGAAATTATTTTCATCCGCCTTACAGTTATAAACTCCAATGAGGTACACATCGACATTACATTATATAACGTATTCTTCATCTAAAATGTCATGGAATGGACGTGATGGATAAGATGACGAACTGTAACATGTTTGTTTACATATATGACACCTCCATGGTTTGACCAACGCCCAGAGGAAATGAACTAGGGTTTTGTCCAGTATGTTTAAATGATGAAAAGAGTTGCATGCTTGATATGAATATAGGGTATGAAAATACCGAACTACAATACCAAAACAATTTAGAAATACTTCATGGGATGCCATCATTCGTGTGAAGCTTTGTTGCCCAGTCCTCGGAATCCATACATTTAGTCGTTGCTCCAACTCGACGTAAATGTTGGGACTACTTTGTTCTTGTAACAACTCTACCATATCGTCGTTGAATTCAATTTTTATCTTCACAACTCGATCCCTTCCACCAACTGTTGACCACAATATGTACTAAAAATTACAAGGATCGGCCTTGTTGATATCAAAAATTGTATCAACGCCAAGATATCGTTCGAATTTGTATGAAAAAATAGAAAAATCTAGATCTTGGATGAATGTATATTTTTCATGATTTTGAGAGATAAATGTGTCTCCTCTTTTCTTGAGATACCTCACTTTCGGATAAGATCACCCCCACTCTACAATAATTGAGCTCATATGTATATATGGCCTACATGTGGACACTAAATAACAAGGAATAAAATAATGCAATGACACTTAATGTGATGTGACCGTGGTGGGGTCCAGTTAGGACACTTGCCGGCTTCGATAGACGTCTGTCTTGTTGATACTGACTCCGTCCTCTGAAGACGTCTCTTCACGATATTCGGGTCGGTCGATCATTTTTAAACTATGCTCGTCTCGGAAGTGGAAGAGCTCGATATTTCCACCTCGGTCAATTTCGAATTGGTTCAGAAAACCTGTTATTTACATATTTATTTATTACATATTTTAATCCTCATTTATTTTTTCACGTGTCGCATTTTATTAATCATGGCCAGATTGGGTATCAACAGGCCATTAATATGCTTGAACAAGACAAACCACTTCAGAATATATTTGTGTGCTGTAATTTATTCCCATCAGCTTTTCCACACCATCATAGTTACCAGGGAAAATGTACCATCATAGTGCACGCATACTCAAACACAATTGCTAGCCATTGAAGTGTAATTTTTAAAAGGAAAAGAAATAAGAGCAAAATAAGTTCAACAAGCAGAATTAAAACGAAAAAGAAAAATGCAGTAGATTTGGGGCTTTAACAAGCTTGAACAAAAAGAATTGCAGTAGAATCAAAACAAAAATAAAAAAATGAATTAAATGGTAGTAAATGCAGGCAAGAAGAAGAATAATAAATGCAAGATGGAAAAAATAGAGTGACGATCCATAAGATTTCTCACAAAAAAAAAAAAAAATCACATCTTGCGTGTCTAATTTTACGTGGAAAAAAGCAGTTGTTGTTATTCGAAATTGTGCAACGATAATAATTTGCAATTTATATGTAAAAACAAGAAATATACGTTTTATTTATGGATATTTTGTAATACAAGAGGTCGGTTTTTACGTGAACCGAATTACTTTCGTTCATGCGTAATGAAAGATTGCCAAAAGATCCATGTACAATAATAAATTTCGCTATTTATAGTAGCCTGTAGTTGACTTTTTCGTACGAGGTAGGTGTGATTGTATTAAATGTAAAGTAACTTTATGAAGCGGTTGGTCGGTCGGCGAGCGCAATTGTGCGAGCGCTTAGTCACTTGCTTTGGGAGTTGGTCTACTCGGACCTCGGTTTGGGAGGAAAGATCTTCTAGAAGGTGTATTTCGTTTTGGACGTGAAGTCGTTTTTTTGTTTGACTTAGACCGAGTTGCAAGGAGTTGGGCATACGATCTGGTTGAAGCGATAATCTTGAATGTTACGTACATCTTTGCTTTTAATCAAGTTTTACCAGGTCGGTTGTCAACAACAGTCAATCAATACGGTGCGTAATTGTGCAAATCATATGCGAAATATGTTCGCATGTTGATAAATTATGCGAGGTTGATATATGGATCGGCAAAAAAATGACAGGTAATCCTAAATTATGCGGCATTCGATTTGGATATGCGATTCGTGAACATGTGAATGTATTACTCATAATCGTTAATTATACGGTGTATTAGATTTGGATGTACAGGTTGTATATGCGAAAAAAAATGTCGCATATTCATAAAATATATGTGATGTTCGATATTAATATGTGAAACTTTCTCTCATATGATAAATAATGTTGTGAATTCGGATATGCGATTACAAAATATGCGAAAATATTACGTATAATTATTGACTATACGTCGGATTTAAATATACGTGGGTATATATGCGACAAAATCTCGCATACTTATTAGTTATTAATTATGCAGTTCACTTAGAATATTCGATTATAATATGAAAAAAAAGTTTTATTATAGAGCACTGTGTAAAATAAAGAGTAGTTGTATAATGTGGTGAAAGATACCCACCCTTTAATATCACTATATTCATGCGTATATTCCTTTTCCTTCTTCTCCTTAAACAAGCCAGCAAGAGACATATATATACCTCTATCTGCTCTTTTGTTTCATGCACATTCCCATGGCTTCCACTCTTGGCCGATTTGAAAAAAAAGGTACTCGAATCAACGTACGAGTAGTTTTCTATACACATCGCCTTAATAAGTCATCATTCGACTCCCATTTGGGGATCCCGGCTCGACACCACCTCCCTTCGTTTCCTCTTGAGCATGTTCTTCATCTCCTCCTCCTTCTCGTCCACAAATGACAAGAATCCCTTGATCCGCATGGATATCGAGCTGCTGCTGCATGGTGCGGAAAGTTCGGATATGTAGCGCTTGAATTTATGCACCATTGAGCAGAAATAGACCAAAAGTGCCAGAAAGCAAGCCACTCCACATGTGAGGAAGAGGCCCCAGAAGCTCTTGAGCTGAAGCTGCTCTGAGTCCTCGTCTGAGCCTTGTTCGGGGCAGCTTCGTGAGCTCAGCCACTTTTTACGTAACTCTTGGAGCTTTCCGGTTTCGGATAGGGTTAGGATTGCGGTTGACAAGTCCGTGGCGAGCTGGGAATCTCTTGGGAATGCCTAATGGTACATATACATGTATAATAACGATTATATTGATCAATTCAAACGAGAGAGAAAAAATAATTGAGTTCGAAAGAGAGAGAGAGAGAGAATATATACTCACGAATCCCCAACCACTCTTGGTGAACTCGCGCCCGACAGCTTGGAACATGCAATAATTCGACAGAAATAAATCGACGTACGGACGTTCGTCGACAACGGCAGCAACTCTCCCTTTGATGAGGGCATCTGCATAGGCTTCAGGGGAGTCGAGCGAGACCAGCCTTGACCTGGCGATGTTGAGCTCGTCCGCCAAATAAGTCTCGGCAAAAGAGCCGACTTGAAAACCTACACGGCCGTTGCTCGAGATCAAGGAGTCGATCCCCTGAATGGACGGAGACAAATGCTGGATGGTGAGGATCGAGGTCAAGCTGGCCGTGTAGCTTGATGTGATTATAAGGACCACAAAGAGCCAGATGATTAGGACCATGCGCCCGAGCGTGCTCATCGTTTTTTCTCCTGAATATTATTATTTGTTGTTATTAGTTTTTTTGGGGAAAGGAAAATCTGAAGTGGAAATGGATTTGTAATATGGGAAAGATAGAAACATGAATGGTGGAAGCTCACTGTGTGCAAAGAACATTGTTGAGAAGCCAAACCTGCAAGGTGAAGTAGTAGAGTTCAAATAAGTTAGTAAATTGAATAATTGTTTCATAATACGATATATAAAACTCACCATAACATTGTGACCAATTGTTTCTTAGGCGGGCCGCGAAAATCGTCGTTTATTCTGTGCTCCAAGATCCAAACCACGACCCCAACAACGAGGAAGAGAATGGCCGTGACGGCCCACATCAGAGGGTTGAACGGCCGCATAAAAGCCCACGCGCTCGAGTCCAACTTTCTCATAGGGGTAACCACCACTAGGCCCGACTCTATGTACGGCTGAGTAAAATCCACAATCTTTGTCCGCTCGGTCACAATCGCAATATCCCCAACAACAGCATCAAAAACCTACACACACGCAAACACCAAAGTTCCTTATCTATTTTCACTACTATAAGGTGTGCTCACTCGCTCACTCACTCTCTCACTCACTCACATTGGAAGTGATCATGGTTACGAGCTGCCCGTAACTCGGATTATGGTGCTTATCCCCGAACAAAACGAACGTATGAGGCACGGCATAAGGAAGCAAGTCTATGGCCGCGAGGAATATATCAATGCAATAGCCGTGAATCTCGTTCGTATTTTCGTCTTTCGACACAAAAGCTTTGAAACTAACCCTGTCAGGAACCCCGATCCTCAACTTCCTCCCATTGTGAGGGAAAACCCACCCCCTCGGTTTGACCCTTGTTCTACCGGGCCATACAACTTCCCCCAACATCTGGCTGGAGCTCGACTGGTTGGGCCTCTTATCGTACAAAACCTCCGGGGCCACAACCGAGAGTCCCGAATAGTTGGACCAGTATCCAACCAGCCTGTAACCTTTCCCGACGACGTTGAGAATATCGAAAGCTGGACGAACCACGGATTTATCCTGATTGAATGCGACCAGACCCGTTAAACCCGTCCTGTTCGTTCTAAGTATATCCTCAAGAAAATCACTCCCCTCGTCAAACCTGCTCAAGGCACCAAGATTCAACTTCCCACTCCCCGAAAACCCGTACAAATCTGGCCTTCTAGTGAATGAGATATTCCCCCCACGCTCGAGAAAAGCTCGAACAGCATATGCAACAGTCCAAACCGTGTCGTACGCGTAGAAACCGTACGCGGTCAGCCCAACCGACCCGTTGTTCAATTTTCCCCATCTGGACGAGAACGTCCTTTTCCGCTCGGAATCCGGTGTGTGGGGCCGCAGAGCAATAATCCCCTGCATGTTCCCCGAGTCCCTGTCCCCGAAATCAGGGTCCGACTCGATCACGGTCGAGAGCCAGGCTGTCGCGATCCAAACGTATCCCCGGGTCATCATCTGCAGCTCACGGGCCAGGCTCAGGACTCGGAGCCCGATCACGGCATACGAGTGGACCACAATCACCCGGGACTCGACCATCGAGAGTTTGACGAGCTCGGTACGGATCTCAGACTTATTGGCCAGGGTTTCGGGTGAGAGCACAGCCTTGTGGGAGATTTCGCAGCGCCTCTTAGCTAGCTCGTCACCCAAGGCTGCCATGGTTCCTCGGCTCTGATCGTCGTCCGTGTAGATGACCACGACCTCCTTGTAGCCCCAGAAGCTCACGAGTTGAGCTATGGCAGCCATCTGGTAGAGGTCGTTGGGGGCCGTCTGGATGAAGTAAGGGTACTGAAGGGAGGAGAGAGTGGGGTCGAGGGCCGTGAACGAGAGCATGGGAATGTGGAGCTCGTTTGCCAGGTGGGACAGGATGTGGGCCGTGCTCGAGACCTGGGGCCCGATGATTGCCACGGTGTCCATCTCCATGAACCGCAATCCTGTGTTGTTTTGAAGGTGTGTGTGTGTGTGTAAAATTAGTGCAGCAAGAAAATTTATATATATATGAAGATGAACACACACACACACACATATACCTCCAATAATGCTAAGAAAGCCACTGTAATTCGAATCATGTATGGAGAGGTTTAACTTTCTCCCACCAAGAAAGTTAGGATCAGAGTTCACATCTTCAACTGCAGCATTCATGGCGATCTTCGCAACCTTGCCGTTGATCGTGCTTAATACAAAAATGGCCCCAATGTTCACAACATCCGGACCCGTCGAATCATTTGCTGAAAACGCCCCGATGAATGGAAGAAATGATGAAAGCAACAAGAACATTATGCAAAAATCCATGGCTGATAGAGAAAACTTTTGCAAATTGCAGTGACAAAAGACCTTCAAGCCTAAAAGAAAAGCTCAAGAAACACTGAGAGAATACTTGTTAAACAAGAATGTTTCTTGTTGGCTCTTGTAACTTTTCCCTCTTCACAATCTTTCACTGTGTGCTTCTGTCTCCACTTTTATTTGTGTCTTTGTTGTCATGATGAGGGAGAAGCTGAAGTGGCTACGGGGATCCACATTGAGTGAATTTCACCTAGTGTCCACCCGGGTTTGTGAGGTGTCATATCAATATACATCCAAACACAAGTGTACGTGTGATATGATGGTTTAAACTCCGGTGTGGTGCTAATCTCCCGCGCATTCTTTGTCACTCGTTTGAACACCAATAAGTCCTCTCTCTATCTCTCTTTCTCTGTGGTTGTGCGAAACGAAGAAG